TTGATTAAAATATAAGAGTGATAATAAAAACTATTCATACTGACTGGAAAACAAATAATATAAAAAACCAAGTTTAATTGTATTGTGCCATACACTAATGTTTCATAATTAATTTTATCTTAATTGGTGTGATTATAGAATGAACGTTATCTACGAAATTAACACAATTCATTAAAATTCATATGCTTCACTAATAAAGTGGAAAACAATCAATATTGCTCTAATTAAAATAAAAAAAATTGGTCCCCAACGTTTCATTTTGAAACAAAAAGCCCCATCTATAGATTTAAATGATTAGTTAACACACGATCAACGCTTCAAAATATGAGGTTTTTAACCCTAAAATGAAACATCGAGGACCAAAGTACTCCAGAAAAAAATATTAAGGGCCAAAGTGACTATTCTGTCAAATATTAGGGGGCCTTCTTGTAATAAAATGAAATGTTAGAAGCCAAAATGCTCTAGAAAATTATAGGGACCAAAATGACCAGATTGGTAAACTTTTGGCACTAATTTTGACATTATATCGATAGTAAAATGAGTTATAGTTTGCCTTCAAAGGCAGAACTTTCGAGATAATATTCTGAAAGAAATTAATTCACGAGCTAATGCACTCCCAAGATTAATTGCTCAAATAGGATGAAATCCACAGTGTTGGCCGTAGGTCGCCATGCACTCCGGGCGACCTTGTAGGTCGCCATGCACTCCTGGCGACCTTGTAGGTCGCCATGCACTCCGGGCGACCTACCCTTGCTCAAACAGAGAGAATGAACGTGTTGCATGGCACATGCACGTCCCAACACATAGGTCGCCATGCCCTCCGGGCGGGCGACTTACCCTCGCTCGGCTTTCCTCGGATTCCCTCGCATAGCTCGCTCGGTTGCCCTCGGATGCCCTCGCATAGCTCGTTCGGATGGCCTCGGATGGCCTCGGTCGGATGGCCTCAGATGCCCAGCGTGTTGGGACGTGCATGGCACATGCAATCTCTTGTAGCTCGCCGGGAAGACATGGCGACCTAGTAGGTCGCCCGGAAGGCATGGCGACCTACGGCCAACACTGTGGATTTCACCCTATTTGAGCAATTAATCTTGGGAGTGCTTTATCTCGTGAATTAATTTTTTCTATAACATTATCTCGAAAGTTTTGCCTAGTTTCAAATGATAAATCTTTGATAATATTTTCTTTTAATACTATACCGTAATTATAAATTAATATCTATTTAAAAATTATTAGTTATTAATTCATATATATATCTTACAAATATAATTACTCGAATTAAAACCTCTAAAAAGTAACATTCTTTTATCACTAAAATCACCCAATGAAATCATATTTACTATACAAATTTAAAACTATAAAATTGATTCTATATAATAGGCATTTGAAGAAAAATAACAAAGATAGTGAATTAAATTAATTGTTGCTATGATTATGTGCATCTTTTTTATGATGTAAAAGGCCAAGCAAAGGGAAGGCGAATAAAATATTGTTCCTGGTTGGCTTTTTTTTAAAAGGGAATTTTGTATTGTATTCGAATACATACGAATACAAGACACAACAAAGACTAAGGCCTCATAAAAAATATTCCCTAAATCTAAATGGATAAAAAAGAATGTCTCACGTCAATGTTCAAGAGATCTCACATACCATAAAACGGTCCGAGATATGATTTGTTTAACACATTACGACGCCATAACAAAATTGAAAAACTCATAAAACTAGGACTAAGCAATGAAACTGAGAAAATCGAAAAATTGAGTCGAATCGGAGAATGCCGTTCAGTTCGGTTTAAGAGAATAAATATGTAATTCGGTTTAGTTTCAAATTTTTAATATGAAAAATCGTTTGAACCAAACTGAACCAAATTAAAAAAATAAAAAAATATCCAAAATAAATTCATTTTAAATTCATTACAAGACAAATTTAAATAAATAAAATCTTAAAACTAGTAATGTTTTTTTTATTATAAATTTACACTAGATTTAAACTTTAAATTTACTTTTATCGGAGGCCGAGTTTAAAAATAGTAAACAATAAAAATTTGGTAAACCGACCCGACCCGAATACACCCCTATTGCATTCAAAACCCGCAGCGTGTGGTTCAGTTCATATTTTAATAAAAAACTGAATCGAACCGAACCGAACCGAATACACCCCAACGTAAAAGCACCCACATCCTGCTTGTGCATTGGCCGATGAGTGCCCGAATTAAATGCAGCCCACCTTCTGTAATGCAAAATGCTAAACTCCACTCTTGCAATGTATTGCATATTAGGGGCCAATAAAGAAATTTCAATAGCAATATTTGAATCTCATCGCCACAGTAGGCCTGGAAAAAAAAAAGCTACACTCGCGAGACAAATCCAACCAGCCAGGGTCTTCAAAATGAATTAGCATCAAACCACAGAATACTGAGGCATTGCAGCACCAGCGAAAAGCAGGCCAAAATACCAGACACAATCCCAAGCATTTTCTACCACCGTCGTACTTGTTATTTCTTTTCTACAACACGGAACTGAATATCAACCAGATAAATATGAGCGACAGAGCCTATCACACCTATCAAGAACCGGACACGACATCCTCATTGTAGACATCATTTTTTTTTTCATTTAAATTTATTATTATTATTAAATTTATTATTATTATTATTATTAAATATTATTATTAGTATATTATTATTAAATAATTATTACAAGCCCAAAGGACCCGGAGGCCCATTTTACAAACCCTAAAACCCAACTAGGGTTTCTCATCTCATGCCCCAGCCGCCATTGCTCACAGCCGTTGGATCTGGCCAAGATCCAACGGTCCTGATGCTTCCAGACGAAAACCCTAGGGTATGAGACCCTAGGGCAACCACGCGGCGCCGCCTCAGCTATCTCCAAGCTTCCAACCGCCGTTTCACTGCCAGGTGGACCAATGCCCCACTGCCGACGCCTCCACAGCCATTGTCGACACACCAGTACCACGACGACACCAACAGAAGACTCCAGAAGCTCTGCTGCCACAATAACAGCCGTCCACGTCGAGCTCTATGGTGACTCACCGAACTGAACCTTCGAGACCGGTCCGAAGAAGACACCGGTCAGGCTATAAAAAGCCATCACCGAATCTTGCAAAAAAAAAAAAAGGCAGGCAGAGAACGACAACAAACAAAACAGAAAAAAAAAGAGACAGGGAGAGATACGAACAGCAACCAACAACCAGAACAAAAAAGGAAAAAAAGAGAGAAGAGAAGAAAGGAAACTTACTTTGTCATCAAAGAACCCCAACCGTCGCCGGAAACAACCAAAACCCGAAGGTATTTTCATGGATTTGCTCCGATCAGGAGCTTTTTAAGAAAAACGGTCACCGGATCCGTCATTAGGACGGCCCGATCTATGTTTTGGTAAAAAAATAAAATTTCCCGACCACCGAGAGCGGTGGCCGGCGGCGGTGGTCGGCACTGGAGCACGGTGGCCGGCCAGAACTCTAATCCCTCCGATGAGGGATTTGAAGAGAGAGGCGAGAGAGAATATTTACTCTCTCAGTTAGAGAGAGAAGAGAGAAAAAAGAAATGAGGGGTTGGCCCTTCGGGCCAGCCGGTTTCGGATACTTATACCCTTTCCCGAACGATGTCGTTTTGGGAAGGGGTATATGCGTAATTTACATATATGGCTAAACCCCTTCCGTAGCCATCTAAGTTTTGTAATTATTCATTTTAGTCACTAAAATTAATTTCTGAACATTTTAATTCAGTCTTTGAATTTTATTTTTTTATGTTTTAGTCCTTACCAGTATTAAATAATATATTTAGGATAAATATCACATTTAGTCCATAATAATTTTAATATTTCTATTTTAATCACTGATTAAATAATTAATGGCTAATTACACTACTAGTATTTATATTTTATGATAACTCTAACCATGTCTCTTACATATTTATATTTTATAATTTGATCATTAAATTATATATATAATCTTAATTTTAACCATAAGTTTTATTATTTTTACATTTTAAGTTCATATATTTATGAATATGATCCAATAGTTTTAATGTTATTACTTTTATTTTCTTTCATTTTAATTATTATTATTTTATTTTGTTATTACTTTTGATATATGTTTAAATTATTATCTTCATGATTATTTTATTATTATTATTAAGTTATATAAATATATATAATATTTATTTATTCTATTTGTTTATTAAATAAAAATCCTATTTATAAATTTAATTTTATAAATTACTTTTAAGAAAAATAAACATATTTTGATATTTATTTTTTAATATCGAAGAAAAGAGCTGTTTTAAAGCACCTAGAAGCCCTTTTTTGATATTTTTAAATAAGTAAATATCTCCTATATTTATATATTAATATATTTTTGTAAAATTAAAAATATTTGAAATAATAGAATTATGAATTAAATATATATTTGAATTTTTTAAATTTTTATTATAAGAGACAATTTATAATTAAAAAAAAAGTACTAATTTTGGGCATTGTAGGGGTGCTAATCCTTCCCTAAACGTAACCGACCACGAATCCCTTTTTATTATTAAAAAGAAAGAATTTTTGGTTAAAACGCAGATCAGTTTATTTTTTAAATGATGTTTTCTTAAAACTCTTTTAAAAGATTCTTTTTTAGGTATTCGATCTACCTGACCCAAAAGGCCGATGGCGACTCCAAATTATTTTTAAAAATATATATATATATATATTTATTCACATCACTTTTCCCGCCAAATAAAAATTTCGTGCCCGGACGAAAACCGGTTACGACAGCTTGGCGACTCCGCTGGGGAATTGTCAAACTTTAAAATCAATTATAAATTGTCTCTATTAATTAGAAATTAAAAATTCATTTATTTAATTTTTAATTCTTTTCTTTCAAATTTTTATTATTTATTATTTTTATATTAATATTATTTTTTTATTCAGGTATTAATTATTTTATTTATCTGTTAGAGGTTTGAATATTTCTCCTCACACACAACACTTGCATTGCATAACATAAAGCTCTATAATTGAGCTTGTCCCTTTTAAGTGGGAGTGAAAGCGACGTCTTCGTGAGAATTTATTCTCCGTGTCAGACCTAGCAAGTAACTTTCGGGGTTCATATGCTCTATGTCTTCGTGAGAATTTATTCTCCGTGTTAGTCATAGAGAAATGTATCCCCTCGAATTGAACTCGGTCCGTTTAAGTCTGTAATGGACTAGGATTGAGGGTTGACAGCCCAAGGGGGCACTAACAAGGACAATTCGAGTACCCTTACTCCTAGAACTAAAACCCTACATGTAATAAAACTTAGAACTCCTCCTGATCTAAGACAGTACTGAACCTCTGTCCTTAGGTGTACACAAAGGAGAAATAAGCTTTAGCTTTTATTTTTTTTTAATTTATTATTTTTTATGAATAAATGCCTGCGAACTAAAAATCATGCGGTTAGGTTAAATTTTCCAAACAAAGCATGGAACTAGAAAGCATGAGGTTAAGATTTATACCTTGATAGATAGATTTTTTCATTAGTTGGTACTAACTATTTTATTTTTTTATTTCTTTTGTTTGCATTGCATGATCATAGCATAACCAAAAGGTGTTTACTTGAAAGACTGTTCATCATATTGGAAAGAAATTGTAAATGGACAAAAAGTTTTATGATCAAACAAAATATGATGCGGCCAAAGAAAGACATCCTAAGGAAACTCTGAGGATAGAAGCGAGTTATGCACCCAAAGATCGTATGACCATTGAAGAGCAAAAGGAGATACGAGAAATAAGAGAGCAGATGACCAAGATGATGGATAAAATATATGTTTTGGCCAAAGGAAAAGAGATTCCAGCACAGAAAGAGAGAGAGCTCAATAAACTTAACTCTGCAGTTTCAGATACGCAAGAGATTTCGATTCTTAACCAATTTGAGAAATTACAGACAGTCATTATTCGTATTCACAAATTGTCTGGAGATACCAAAGAAATGGTGACGATTGTACAAGCTCCCAGACAAGAGAAGAAATCATGTAATAAAAAATCATCAAAGTTTGGTCTGCTCCCGATGTCTAAAACTCAGGTTCAATCCAAGACAAAAGGTGGTTCTCATCTTGATAATATCCCCATATCATATAAAGAGGTGTATGAGAAGCTACTTGAAGCACGAGAAGTGGATCCATATTATATAAAACCGTTCCAACCTCCGTATCCAAATTGGTATGACATCAACGTTCATTGTGAATATCATTCCGGAGCTCAAGGACATACCATCGAGAATTTTCTTGCTTTCAAACGCCGAGTCCAAAGTCTTTTAGATCATGGAACCTTACAATTTATGGTAAATGATCGACCTAGTTTAGTAACCGAGGGTCCTGATAGATTAATACCAAAAGTTTTCAAAGGTAAGAATATCAGTAGGGGCGCCCAGAGAGAAGAAGATTTGCTGAGGTTTGAAGCTCAAATACGTCATTTAAAGATTGAAAACGATAAATTGAGCACCAAAATGGAAACCATACATGAAGACTTTCAGAAGGTCAGTCAAGCCTTTCAAAATGCTGGTATAGGAAACACTCCAGAAGAGTGGATAGCCGGGGTCACCAAACTGAAAAAAAGTTGCAACATACATGAAGATCTTGTCCAAAAACTTTTTGAACACAAATGTTCTCTCACAAAGGAAAATGATCAACTCCAAGAATAGACATAGGAGATGAAAGAACACCAGAATGTTATGGAAGAAGCTGCAGTCCAGACAAGCAATATGACTCATAAGCTGATAAACTAACTTGGTTTTAGAGAAGAAAATGGGAAATTTATTCCCTATATGTAAAGTTTTGTTAAAGTTAGGACTGAAAGTTGTCCCCTACATGTAAAAGTTTTGTTTGATGTACTGAAGTTTTTGTGTTCAATGAAATCTGTTCTAAGATGATCACTCTTAAGTAACACCTTTTCATACATACATTTACATTTTGTATCTGTGCATTTTCATTTTGTATTTTTACTTTTTATATCTTTGAATTGCACATTTTGCATTCTTATTTTTCCATTTATGCATTTTTCATTTTTTTTATTTAAGTACTGTTATGTACTTTAATTATAAAAACATGTTAATAATTAATGAAAGGTTTTGTAACAGTAAAACCAAGGTCATTCATTCATATTACTTTACTGTCATCATGAAAACAATGGAGCAATCTTATAAGGGACTACAAGACCAGTGGCCAGAACAATTGACAGGGTTACCTCCGGATATAAGGAAAGAAACATCTGATTCAGTACCAGATGGATCAAATCAAATTATTCAGTATGTGACATCTGATAAAAAAGAGATAATTTATAAAGAGCAACCATGCTGTCAGATTGAAGAATCGAAAATGGTAAAACCCTCTGGGGCATCCCAATTGAACCCAAAGAATAGCCTTGTTCATTATTCGCAATATGAGGAAAGATTCAAGAAGATGGATGAAGCAATCAAAAATATGAAATGTGTTGATACTTCCCACAAAGAATTAGAAGCAAGAGAGCTCAGCTTGATTCCAGATTTGATTATTCCCCATGAATTCAAAATGCCTGATTTTGAGAAATATGATGGCACAAGTTGTCCCCTAATCCACTTAAGAATGTTTTGCAGAAAAATGGGAGGATATTTAAATTCTGATGACCTGTTAATTCACTCTTTCCATGATAGCCTTGTTAACCCATCAGTAGTCTGGTACAATCAGTTGACCCAAGAACATATCAAGAAATGGGTAGATCTAGCTGATGCATTTTTGGGACAATATCGGTATGTTAAAGGCTTAGCTCCAACACGTATGGATCTTCGAAGAGTAAAAAGGAAAACCAATGAAAGATTTCAAGAATATGCCTTAAGATGGAGAGGAGTGGTAGCACAAGTTCAACCTCCCATGTTAGAAGAAGAGATATCACGTATGTTTCGTGATTCCCTTCCAGCGCCTTTCTTCGAGTTAATGCAGGCAAATCCGACAACTGAATTCGAGAATCTTGTGACAAGTGGAGATTTAATTGAGAATGTAATCAATGAAGAAAATTCAAAAGTCACATCCAGGAGCCCGACGGATCAAAAAGCAAAAGCTGATCATGTGAATGAATGTTGCATCCAGAGTCCTCGCAATTGCAAAAGAAAAAGAGCTATTAACTGTTCGGATCGACCAAAGAAAGTCATGCGATCAAGACAAACTTTGGAAGTATTCCAAACTTTCATTTCAGACTTGTATCCTCATTTGGTTAAAGGTCAATACATCACACTAAGACCAACTAAAGTGACATCAAACTCTTCTGCTCATAGCTATGATCAAGATAGTGTTTGTAATTTCCACTTGGGGGTAAAAGGGCATTCTACAGGCAATTGTAGGCCACTGTTGAAAGAAATAGAGATGCTTATTGACAAAAGAGTCCTGACACAGGAAATGATCAAAAAATGGGGGGCAAATAAAGACAATGACCCTGGTCCAAGTATACACCCAACATTAGAGGAGGCATGATGTATAAACAAGTGGAAGTGTTATCTACCACTGTAGTACTTTCTATTTTCAGCATCTTGTTTGAACTTGTTTTTTGTTCCTTTCTCCGCTTTTTGTGCAATAAATAAATGTGTGTTGCTTATTAAGGTTATGAGCAAGGAATCAAATTTTAATCTTGAGATTATTGAGTATCAAGTAGATTAAATATTCTTTTAATTTTTCAAGAGTTATAGATCTATTGGCAAGTGGTAAAACTATATCTTCAATATCCCATCCAATGCCAATTACTCAAATCAAATCCTGACACTACAAAGATTCTGAAGAAATGTATCCACCTGTTTTTACACCATATACATGACTTTATAAGTCACACATTTGTCCTTCCAAATACAAAACCATCATAAACCAAAAGACCTCAAAAGAACCAAACTTTCAACTATTCGTGAATTTTACTGCAAAAAGAGACGAGATGAGGCATCATGGACCAACTCATTGATGATAATTTCGAGTGATTAGGGCATACTCAAAGAAGAAGGGGAAAGTAATTGATTGAAATAATATATCATGCATTAATTACATTTTTTCATGTAAATAAAGTTAATCTTGAATATTCATCCCCCTGTGGATACCTCTTTTTACAAAGGTTTCTGTGTATGAGATGATGAACGACATTGTTTCATTTATCCTTTAATATATATATATATATCCTTTGTTGTCCCCATTTGAGCCTGAATAATTTTTCTTCTAATTCAACCCTAACCAAGGATCACCCTCTACATTGGGGGGCAAGGTAAAGGATATTGGCTCACAAGAATAAAGATTGTCAATACAGTTTTATTACGAAGACAAGTTTCCATGAAGTCATGAAAGTTTTGAACTACAAAGTATGTCAAATACAGAGTGCTTGAAGATCAATCCAATCAAGAATAATGGAAAACCTCCAAAATGCAAAAGGAAGTGCTTAAAGCAATTGAAGTATTATACTCATCCAGCAAAGAAAGAAGAAAAAAAAAAGGAAAAAAAGAAAAAGGAAAATTGAATCAAGATGGGTGATTTATTGAGCCTCAAGTTACAAGGTTGATCAAGTACAAACAAGAAGAGCAAGAAATGCTGGAGATATGAGAAAATGGAAATGAATCCAAAATTTGGCAGTCTAGAGGGATCCAGTTGATGGAAAAATCTCCAACAAAGCAAATCCAAGTTAAGCAAGGCAAGATTGATGGCATCAGAATGAATTGATCCTTGGTTTGATTACCCTTAAACACTTATTTGGGCCTTTTTATCCCTTTCTTTCGTAACCATAAGCCATGACCTACATTACGTACCTGAAAAGTCCATTTTAATCATACATGGATTTCTAAGTAAAAGACAATATCTTCAGAATTCATTCCGCCTCTCAAGATTGATTTTTATTTGCAAAAATTATTTTTTTAAAATCTTTAATGCATGATATGAAAAATGAAAAAAGGGGGGTTCAAGATATAAATTTTTAAATAACATCTTAGAACCAAAGGAGAATTCGAGTTGAAAACCTGAAAAGGCGGCTCGAATATTGAATGGTGCAACAAACTACATAAGAGATGATCTTAAAATCTTAAATGAAGCACCACACATCCCAAAAATGTTCCTGAGATTCTGGAATCAAGAAGTATCTCTACAAGATGAGCATAACAACCATTTCTTCAAGTTAGTGGAAGCCCGAAGCGACATACTGAACCAGCTTGAAAGAACCTTACTTTACCAAAATCCACCTACACCTTAAATCAGTCAATAATTTTGACACTTGCCATAGGACTATGATTTTTGAATGATTTAAAAATGTAGTTGATTTATTGGATATTCATTAAACTTATTGTTTATGATTTGATTATATTGTGAACCTGAAAGGGATAATACTTTGCAAAATTCTTTCATTCTTCAATAAACAAAGGAGGAAAAAACATTTTCAAACAGGACAGTCTCAAATGAGGAAGGTCCTTGAAGCAATTATTGCTTATTCTACCTCTGTTGTAGAAAAAGAATGAACGAGGCCAGAATAATGAAGCACTTCACATTTTTTAAAGCAAGTGGTCTGAGAAGTCAGAAAGACTGGAGAATTGAACTTGTGACACTCCCCTATGACATTATTAGCAGCTCATCAAGAAAGATTATCGTTTATCTCATGCTGAGGGTAATAAGCATCACCAGACAGATTATTTTCCCCAACCATCAATTCATGTTCTTTAAAAGATTACATCATAGAGCCATGAACAAGCCACTACCTACACTCTGGTGTTGGCTCAAGTCTTGATACATCATTGCTACTTTTTCTATGATAATCATTTTCTTTGTCAAGATGATATCCATTATGTCCTTCAGAAGATTGCTGAATTTGAATTGTAGGACTTAGGGCACAGAATAAGACATTGGAACAGAATCTACCCTTATAGGCCTTTTATATAGGGTAACATTGGTTACAGGATTCCAAAAGTTAAAGATGACCAGTTTTACTGTCAACTAAACCGTTCCATAATTTGAAAAGAGTGGGATATATTGGAGCAGCAGAAGAGATAGTTGTCATAGCATTCATTGCAAGAAAATTCACCAACAAAAATCTTCTATTTAATCCTGATGATGTTTATTTCTTCCAGTAAGGTTGTTACGCTGGATGCCACCGACAACAAGGTCGAATTTGACAAATCTACTCATCAATTGCTCCAACCGATCATCATTCAGTTCCTGCACATCTGTTTTCAAAAGTATGCCAAAACAATAAAAGGCAACTTTTGTATCATTGATCCCAGAGAAAAGAGATAGGACATTGATACCACCATGGAACATGTCTCTATACAAATCCTCATGTATGGTTTTTAGGGAAACCTAGAAGCATTTCCACCTCATCAGGTTCAAGTGGAACCATTTTATTCTTTCTAATCCATACCAGATTCCATTTTCAAGCACTCATCAAGAACATACTTCTGGACACTCGAAGGAAGACCGTCATTTCTTTGTCAATGGAAAAGCATCAGCACATGGAGGAAGCAGAATAAGAGAAAATCTGTTCTTAATTGGCAGAATTATGAATATAGCCCTTTTCTGTGTAGTAGCATGAAAATGCTTCGAATCTACAAATTCTGGCTCTACATCGAATAAGTACTGTGATATTCCAGTCCAAACATTAACCGGAGCAAGTGCCATTTGCTCATAGTAGAAATAAGAAGACTCAATAGCATCTTCTGGAAGTGTTCTTTGAGTTATCTGATCTGGTTTGGTATGAACCCCAAAACCAATCATTGGATTTAAAAGATGAATTTGCTCATAGTAGAAATAAGGAGACCCAATAGCATCTTCTGGAAGTGTTCTTTGAGTTATCTGATCTGATTCGGTAGGAACCCCAGAACCGATCATTGGAATTGAAAGATGAACTGCATGATCATCTTCATTAAGAAGCTTCTTTTCAAGCTTCCTCTGCTTCTTCCTTTTCCACAAATCATAGCCCAAGTTTCGCCTTTGCTTGTAATTGGGATCATTGCATAATGGCTTCCTATCTTCTACCATAAGAAGTGCGTCAATAACCTTAGCCATTTGATCAGCACATATAAAATCTGTCAATTCTGCAATTGATGAATTTGAACCACATCTCTCCATGGTTATTGAAGCTTCAGCCTCTGAGAATCCCATTTTTGTCAAGTATAACAGTTTACTCTCCTCATCAGAATCAAAATTAATGATTTCCTCGATATCAGAAGAACTATCAATATATGTGAAATAATCCTGAAAGATCGTTTCATAATCAGATGAGTTGTTATCAGAATCAACATGTTGCATGGGTGCGGATTTTTGATGAGCTTGTACCATTGTATATGTAGTCTTGCCATTGCATCAGATTATTGTTTGCATAAATTGGTTTCTCTCCCACAGAAAAGTATATTTCAGATATGGCCTTCACTGAAAGATGATAAGCCACTGTGTCAGCCTGGAACGGATTACCAAGCTATTTTTACTTCACTGTCTGACTATATCCCTCCAGATACAAAAAATGGTCACCTCATTCAGAAGACACATATCTCCGACGTTTCTGTTAGAATGATTGAATACTTCTTAAGTTTGTGATAACATGAAGAGAATTTCAGTTACTTGATAACACTACTGTTTAGTGACACCAGAATGAGAGTATTCAAGATAAATAGATTTGGGGCACGAATAAAGCTACAAGTACCTACAACAGTGTATTGTCAAAATTGAACCTTGTAGGGATCATGATATTCAAGTCAAACAGACGTCGAGAGTAAACCAGAAATAGAAAATTGAGGCATCTAGAAAGCCCAATTTAGACAGATCTAGAGGGACATATTGAATGCCAATTTCAACCAGAAATAGAATATTGGGGCATTTTGAAGGCTCACAGCAATATGAATATTTGAGTATTTTTGGGGGCTCATCTCAACAAGAAGTAATGTTATATTTGAGTATTTTTGGAGGCTCATCTCAACAAGAAGTAATGTTGAACACACTTTTAACATCTGTATCAGCAAATGTTGGGGCATTTTAAAGGTTCCTTCAGACAGATCCATGTGGGCATTTTGAAGGCTCAGATTAATAAGAAGCAAATATCGGGGCATGCTGAAAGCCCATTTCAATCAGAATGAAGAATGTTGATGTATTTTGAACGTTCGTATCAGCAATTGTTAGGGCATGCTGAAGGCCCACATCATCATGTGTCAAGATCATTGACTTGAATAAATATTTCCAATGAGATATAAAGATATGAAGAATGAAAATGGTGAAACAATAACAGTCAATCTGACTACACATAATTGCTTCGTTCATCAGGCAGTTGCATTAGGGTCCTGTTGTTGAACAAACATTTATTCAGCAAGTATGGTTTCAAATACCTAATATTCTTAACCGTATGTCACATGACAGTGTGTTCTTTGATAAACTACATTACGGTTGCATGAATAAAGATGATCCCCAGGTAGACTACTTGATCCAGGGTTCAGTTCCTTAAGATCTCAGCATTGAATTTGGCCTTCTGTGTGTCGGTGATAATTGAAAATATTTCTTTGAGATTCCTAGCAAATAGTTTCAACCATACTATTGAGGTTACAAAGCTGTTTTTCACATCAGTTTTGTGTAATTGATGACATTGAAGAGAGAAGCTCAAGTATATTGCTCTTTCCCGATTGTTACTGGGGTTATCATTGCCAGCTAGACTAAACCGAGTTCTCATCTATTTGGTTTATCATGTGCGTTTCATCCCCAGCAGTAAGAATTCCATGAACCTCTTCCTGTACATGGCCCCTATAGCTGATATGTTTCTAATTCTTACAACGCTCATTACAAAAGAAAACGTGATATGTATCACACTTTGCCTTTGCCCGAGATGATATCAAGATCAGTTGGTGTCTCTTCTTCAATTTAGCACTAGCATATCTTGTGGATTTGACTAATTTTTTGGTCATACCAACATCACACTTGAATCCCCATGGAGTTTTGTTCTCAAATGGTCTAGTGACATCATACAAAAGCTTTGAACACTAGACAATGAGTTTCAATGATTGAGAAACCTTGGTAGAAGCCACATGAAATGATAAATGTGTTTTCAAATGTTTTACATCTGAGCAGAAACTACATGAGATGAAGAATGTGTTGTCAAATGTTTTACGAACCAGTAATTATGATGCTGAACCAATACTGTAGATCATATGGTTTTCCTTTAATGATACAAGATGAAGTTTGTCTTCTTCAACGTCAAGATCAGAAATGAGATATAATGAAGATTTCTTTCCACAGAAAGAGAGCTGAAAAATTTTGACAACAATAAACTAGTGGAGCCAACTAAGGTTGAACAACATGTTGTTGTTAAGCATCTCGACATGATATAGTCCAAGTTGCCTTATTCGAGATCTGATTATTTGTGGAGACATGAAAGGAATTGGAATAAATCTTCCTTATGATATGTTTCAAGAGTTAAATTGGAACAGACTCTATTCTCCTGATTAATCCCTGCTGAGTCAGGCATATCTACATCTGCATTTTTTAAAGATAATAGATTCTCACTTCAGAAATGACAAATTTTCTTTTGATAGATTCTCTTTTTAAAGATGAAAGCTTTATGGAATTTTTACACAAGTCCAAGCAAAGAAAATTGGTTTTATCCAAGACAAAATGGGACATCAAGGTCATAATTCTGACTACAGCAATAATTCCACGAATGAAACATTTCTTCTAAGACCTTCATGAAGCAAAGAAGACAGTAAAGATACAAATTGATCAGATGATTCTGCAGAAATGCAAGCTTGATAGCATAAGTTGCTACATTGATATCCAGAGGTAACCCTGGTAATAAATGATGAACTAGAGGAAGACCAAGTTCACCACTTTGAAGTCAAATGAAGATTGCATCAACATTCATGCATTCATAAGAATATCATTTACACAATAGACAATGCATTACATTGATACATCTGAGTGCATTCAAACATGAAGTTTTACAGATCTTCGGAAGAGCAAGAAGATTCATGGTAAAAAATTACCTTACAAGAAGAAGGTATTCAAAACCAAAAATACAGGAAATCACGCAAACATCTGAAGAAGAGATGGACGTAATCCACAAGAATGAGCATTATCTTGAGATTGGGGCATGTTACCCAATCAACATGTTATTTCAAAAACATAATGAGAAAACGATTTCCATAGTTTCTCATTTTATCTTTTCTAAAATGAAATTGTTGAAAAGTAAGAAAACGATTTCCTTAGTTTTTTTACTTAGTAAACTATTTCCCACATCTGTAAGTCCTTCAGTGCATGATGTTTCCAAAAAGCCTTCGGGAGCTTTTTGATGTTTTCAAAGCCTTCGGGTCATCTGTAAGCCCTTCAGTGCATGATGTTTCCAAAAAGCCTTCGGGAGCTTTTTGATGTTTTCAAAGCCTTCGGGTCATCTGTAAGCCCTTCAGTGCATGATGTTTCCAAAAAGCCTTCGGGAGCTTTTTGATGTTTTCAAAGCCTTCGGGTCATCTGTAAGCCCTTCAGTGCATGATGTTTCCAAAAAGCCTTCGGGAGCTTTTTGATGTTTTCAAAGCCTTCGGGTCATCTGTAAGCCCTTCAGTGCATGATGTTTCCAAAAAGCCTTCGGGAGCTTTTTGATGTTTTCAAAGCCTTCGGGTCATCTATAAGCCCTTCAGTGCATGATGTTTCCAAAAGCCTTCGGGAGCTTT